AAAAAAAAAACAAGCAAGCTTTAAAACCTTCAAATTCAAATATATCAAAAGAAAAGTTTGATGGTTCAGATCTTTTAAAGTGGGGTTCTGTGAAGAGGTTATGAACAATATCTTACCTGTTGTAGATAGTTCTGTAAACGACCTCAGTTTGAATAAATAGTTTAATTCAAGCTAATGGCTAGTCCAAGTAAGGCCAAAAATTAAGTGGCTTTGTGTCGTCTTAAAACATCTCCACTCTCAAAAACTCTCAGTGGTTCACGTAAATGTTACTTCATCAACATCTGTATTGCACAACACTGTTATTAATATGATATACATTTTTGTGGTTATGTTTAAACACAAATAGTAGCAGCTAGCCATAACACTTCCTATGCATCCTTGGACAATCCTAACAGGAACGACTTAACATTTCTGCATAAATAACAGCATGATGTAAAAAAAAAAAAAAACAGTAGTCATGTAGTCAGCTGGTGTTTGTTATTGGAGGGAATCTTTGGGCACCTCATGATTTGATTCAGAGAGCTACCATGCAAATATACAACAACTATCTTGAAACATAACTATGTCTCATTTTACATAAACACTGATTTTAAATTTTGTACATTAGAAAGACTATAAAAAATGTAAAAAAAAGACTATTAATAGCAGCCTGCTGACCAACAGTTAGCATATATGCTAACTTAACACTGAAAACACTTTCGAAAAGCTAACATAATTAACATAATTGGAAATTTGCACACAAATCAAACATTTGAAAGTCATTACTGAAAAGATTATTATTTCAGCTATCATTTAGAATTCAATTCTTCACAGCTCAGCGAAGAAAAATTAAAGAAATGAAAACCCTCAGCTTTACTTGAAGCTATGGTAACTCTACTGGGACAAATGGCTTTTCACAGCAGCTACTCTTTTCATGTGGCAACACAGGTTAATATTAAATAGATTTCTGAGACATTGGACAATCAATTCAGAATATTCAAATTTATTAATCTATTATCTACCCCGTGTTCCAGAGTCAGGTCACGGCGTCAAATAGCTTGAGCATCTCTTTCTGGCAGGACTCCAAGGTGTTCTCCGTCCAGCTGAGAGACATAGACTCTCCAGCGTGTCCTAATTCTTCTTTGAGATCTCCTCCCAGTTTGACATGACCATAATACCACCCTAGTGATGCGTCCAGGAAGCATCCTTACTAGATGCCTTCTAACACAACTGGCTCCTCTTGATGTGAAGAAGCAGCAGCTGTACTCCGAGTCTCTCATGACTCCTCACCTTGTCTAACGAGAGTCCAGTTACACTGCAGGGAAAACATTCCAACTGCCTTTATCTGCAATCTCATTATTTCAGTCACTACTCTGAAATTGTGACCATTATTAGGGTATGAACATACAGTAGATAGATTGATAATCAGAAACAGCTCTGTTCTCCACAAAAGACCGATACCGAGGAAGAAATTTCCAGAATATTCCACACAAAAAAAAGAAAAAAATATTTAACTTCCTACCTCTAGTGTTTGCATGAACCACCACTAAGAAATGTTTGAGACTGGAGTGTAATTTTTTTTATAAGATGGCAGCAATCCACTTTAGTCTCTCGCTGTTTGCTTATCAATCTGAGCAACATTAAAAAACATTTTTAAAAACAGGTCATTCAAAAAGATTTCACAGAACCACATTTCAAAACATCTGAACTACAATTTTACCAGAAAAAAATGCCTCTTGATGCTTCAGTGAGTAATGTTGATACATAAATGTGTATATATTTAACTGCTACAGTTTATAGTTGAGAGAAGCTAAAATACTGCCCTCAGATAATAAAAACTCATTTACTTGAGTAAATGTACTCTTCCATCTCTGCTGCCAAACAACAAATACCATAATAAATAAAACTTAAAAACCTCTGGACACATCAGGTAAGCCAAACCAAATGCTAATATTATATATATATCTAAATGCATTTAATTTACCGAAATAAACTCACAAAAAACTGCAACCTTTTTCCACAATGTCCACTGTAAACAGTGAAATACACAATACACAAATGATGGATATGTGCATCAGCTAGCTCAGATTTTGTCTCTTGTTAGCTTGAAAAGGACGACTAATTGGAGCTTGTTCAAGAGAGTGCTATAATTTGATCTTAAAGAACACTACTGAACAGTGACCAGAGGAGCTGACTTTGGGCATTAAATGCAACCTGTGCATGTCACTTCATTTAAGGAAAGCTTACTGCATCACAACAAAAAAAAAATTCAGTGCCAAAAATGTTTTTGCATTATATGTGCATCCGTTGGAGGAAAAAGAAAAGGTTGCGATAACATCAACTACCAGTAGAGTCCAAATACCAAAAGGCTCCAAACAAAGACGAAATAAGAAACCATTAAAGAGCATCCACAGGATGACGGTGCTGCAACGTCCATCATTTTGTCAGGTTGTCCTTCCTGTTTGTCGCTGAGGGCTCTAGTGGTTAGGAGTCTGGCCCTGGACCGACTGTAGTCCTTCTTTTGAACTGGCGGGGGCAACGTCGGCGGGACGCAAGAACCGATGGAAGGGGAACACCCAATCCGAAGCCATTGCTCAAAAAGTTCTGACGTCAGCTTCAGGAGTTCCTCCGGAGGGGAAGATATGGTGGGGAACTGGGTGAGATACGTCTCCTCAAGGAACCTCTGTGAAAACCAAACAATGACTGACACCGTGGTGAAAGCAGCACCAGTGAAGTCAGCTGTACGCAGTCATTTGGAAATCCTTACCTCTATGTTTTCATTCTTTGCAATAATTTTATCCAGTGTCTGCCTGAGTTCGAGGATCAGGGTGTGATTCACGTGCTCGTCCCAGAGGTTCATGAGGAGCATGTTCCAGGAGTCCAGGAGGACCACAGCTGCAGAGAAGACGCAACACTGCAGAAAGACAAACAAACAACTGCTCAGTTCCAAGCAATACTTAAAAAAACTCACATTCTCCAGGTACATATAAAACACCCCCTCAAGACTATAAAAAGTACACAACTTCCTCATTTTACCTAATAAGTAACTCACCGGATCAGTTTCACAGAGCATGCTTTTGGTGTAACGATGCACTACATAGTAATCCTTAGGAAATACTTTCCTCTGAAAGAGAAAGAAACAAAGATGAGCTTAAATTCTTAAAATAACAGAAAAAATGCATTTATACAAAATAAAGTAAAGCAGCACATTGTTTGATCTCAGCTATGCTGGTTGTTTGACATCTGATAACCCCGACTGTTCATCAGTTTAGAAGAAACCTCATTATTTCTGCTTTTTGTTTTCTTTACACAAGTTTCTCACATACAAACACTTATTCATTTCAGTACAAGTTCCTTTAAATAAAGATACTCTGAGAAAACACAAAGCTTAGACTTTAGACCTTAGAAAGGGGGGAAACTTACAAATCCAGTTGGATTAGAGTCGATTGTCACCTTCAGGTTTTCTACGCCTTTCCAGTCAAAGTCACATCCACCACATCGGACAATAAAAAGCGATAGCAACACGAAAACTGAGACATGTGGAAGAAAGAGAGACAAGACCACATTCAGATAAAAAAAGTGGAAACTTTCTGTGGTTTTTATTTGTAGCTAGTTCAAACTGAATACCTGGTAAGAAACATTACACCATTTCCTGTGTGGATTAGCCCTTTTTTTCTTTTTGTCCACAGAAATGTTGAAAACATGCTCAAGTGTTGTTGCATAACTTTGATTTGAAGCAGATAATTAGCCTCATCAATAAGAAACCTGCAGAAATTTGTCACGGGTCTGATTGTATTAACCTTTGCACCATTTTTCCTCCACACTACAAAAAACAACAAAAAAGAAAGCCAGATGCAAAGTTATTTTAAATTTCTCACCTTGCAGTGACATCCTTTATTTTTCCATGAACGGACACGTCTCCATTGCTCTTGCTGTCAGTAATAGCTGCTCAGATGGGTCTCGGTGTCAGTCTGTGAAAAGGCAAAGTTTCCTCCTCTGTGGGTTTGTTGAGGTCTCTGACAAGAGTGCGCTTCTGCCTCGCTCACTGCTTGATGTTTCAGCCTCCTCGTTCACATCTCCTCTGCGTTTTTCGTCCTCTTCGTTTCCCCCCACTTTGGTAATTTCCAAAAAAATAATAAAAAATAAGATGGCCTCATCAATCATATCACACCATCATTCTCTTTCACTTTTCCCCACTGAAGTGGTTGCAGCCTTTCCCTTTCTCAAAGCTTTTGTTTTCTTTTTCAAATTTATTTAATTCCTCCCTTGCTTTCTTCCTTTCACTACTGCCGTCCTGCCAGATTTTTCTTTCAACCACTCCCTTGTTTTTTCTTTAAAAACTGGTTAATGAATAAAGCAGCAGAGACGCGCTGGCAGCCTCCCCCTCCTCTCTTTTCTGTAGTTCCCCCCCGGTCACTCCTCGCCCAGACAGGTTCGACTCAAAGTGAAAGTGCTCGCCTGGATTGCTTGTCTGCTTTCTATAAGGCTCAGCCCCACCCACCGCAAAACGTTTCACCTCACTATTGACTGACCCGGCTCCCTCCCCCCTGCTCCCCACATTCCCTGACACCCCGCTCCACCACCCCCGTCCTTCCAAACGGGGGCTGAGGAGGCTTAGTCATGCAGTTGGACCGTATGTTTTTCATTTCAGACTCTCCCCCGCACCTCTGCCCCTGCAGATCCCCCTTGCTATTTATCCCCTTCAGTCATTATCTTGTTTAATCATCATGTGAGCAACTAAAAAAAACATATATCACATTCTTTGTCAAACTGGATTGCAACACTGTACTGCCAGAACTTGCAAGTCATTCCATGTGTGACAGCTCTCAATAGTTGTCACTGTTACAAAAAAAAGAAGAAGAAAAAAGCAGCTCCACAGATGTGCTCATGTGATGATGACGTCCAGTATTGTTCCCAGCTGTCATCCTCATGTCTTTCTGAAACACCTCGGTTGACGCGAAGCATCCTATTGCTTTGGATTTCAGTCAAGAGCGAGGCTGATTACTGACGAGAGGAAGGAAGAACAAAGTTGTTGTGTCAGAGAGTGAATTTGTCTCCTGCGTGTTCTTTCTGATCGTGGGCCAAAGTGGAAAGTGGACAGCTCTCTGAAGCACCACCAGTGCCGAGGGGAAATGGAAACTTGAGAGAGCAGAGCGACAAAACTCGCAAATGTCTCAAAAGTCCCAGAGGCATCATCGAGTTGAAACTTCTTGACCTTTCACTCCACGCCGCAGCGGCAGATATCAAGTTGTTGTGCTGCCTTCCTGTTTCTTTCATCCCTCTTGCACGAGAAAAAAAAAATGCACTTGATTTATGAAAAGTAAAAATTCTGTGCCTTTTTTGGATTTAGTTGTGCCAAATGAAATCCAGATTTGAGTTTAAAAGAGGAATTACTCAACACATTTTTTGTTTGTTTCTTAGAAAAAAGGAACACTACAGTTTGTCCTGTTTTATATTTTATTTTGATCCTGAGGATAAGCCTGACCTATTTTTTGTTTAAATTTTTTTTTCTTTTTCAGTTTTTGCACAATTATTACATAGTTTAGGTCAAGGTACACAAACTTTCGATTTAATTCAAATCATATGTTTTTGAGTTTTATTGGCTGTGGTCTGTTTGGCTCATAAAAAAAGACAAAATTCTGCTGAAGTGGCTGAACGCATTAGAGCGAAGCCTTGTTTTGCAACCAAGTTTTGTGTTAGAAACCTTAAAAAGTGGGACTTGTTGGACGAGAGCCACTCAAACAAGTGTGGGAGCATAATCCCCCCACTTCACTTTCACTCCTTTTATTCTTCCCGTTCACCACAAGATGGAGCCAACTGAGGATTTAAAAACAAAAAAGGATGTCAAGCTGTTTGTTTATTTTATTCTGAAACATCCACATGAGTAAACAAAGTGCAAAGACTTTTGGTAATAAGTTAAACTTTACATTTTGAGGTTATATTAGACGATGAAGCCCCACCGTGCATTATCCCAGAATTACTGATTGTGTTAATCTGAGCAGGATAATCAGAACACAATAGATTTCTCATTACTTAAAAAGACAATAATGGATGAGCAGGATCATCCATTCACAGTGCTCCTGACGGTTATAAAAATACAAGCCGTGAAAAGACTCGCTTCCTTTAGCATTTAGATCATTTCCTCACTTTACCCTTCACCTGCTCCTCCTCCTCAGTTTTCACTGACTGGGGCTCCTCTCTCCTCCTCGTACGGCTGTCATTAAATGACCCTTGTATGTTTTACTCAGTCCGGTCATCCAGTACTTGAGCAGTCGCACGTTCTCCTCCTCACCGGGCCCTGTGGCTCCAAGGAGGGCCAGAACCTTCTGGGTGTCCTCCCTCCCTCGACCGTCCACTTTGGAGAACTTGAACAGCACTTTGACTTTGCTGAAAGAGTAAACCCAAGTTTTATTTAGTGTTTCCATATAAAAACTTTAAAAACAACTGGATTTTTCTTTTCACTCACTTCATCCATTCTTCCTTCAAACACAGCAGGCAGTGAGACACGACGTCCACAGACAGGTTCTCGTTAGACAGGGCCACCTCCAGCTTGTTCAGTAACGTTGGACCTGAGCACAAAGAGTCAAAGAATCGGCACGCAGCCGTTACTCCACAAGTTCTGGCGCCAATGTTTGTTATTACAGAACAAGTCTGAATTTAATCTGGCAAAGAGGGAAACACAGCAGCCTGATAATTAGTTTTTCATGTAACTCCAGGTGCTGTAAAAAAAGAGTTTATTAAAGCTGAAGTGTTTTACTACAGGAACATAAAACTGCTGCTCTGGCTCCAATCACAAAACTGAAAAATAATTCATAGTGAAAGCCAACTAAAAAGGGATTTACATGGTTAATAAAGATAGGACATTATTTATTTTCTTCTACTGTGAGCTGCAGCTGAATTTTATGTCAACTTCTGTCAGAAACGTCCTGGTTGTTAAGGTTTCCCTCCGTTAATGCCAAGTCTCCAGTGACAAGTCGACTGAAAGGTCAAAAACGCAGCGAGGCAGCTACTAATTCTTTGTTTAGTGTATGCTAATTTAAACTCTGTGCAGGAATTATGCAAATGTGCCTGATGCTATAAAAAAAGAAAGAAAACAGACGAGAACAACTTCTACATTTAAAATGCATTTAAAGACCAGTTATATAATCTTTTGTAGCCATTACTGTAACCGTTTTTGGCTTTGACTTTGTGTCTTAATCTTCGTGACTTTTATATTTGTTTTTCAATTATTTTCTGTTTTGAAATGTTTTATGTGCCAGAGTTTTAGACTAAGATCATCAAATCTATGCTGATAAGTGACAGTCTGCAGCCATTTTCGTCAAAATTTGAGAAAAACGTTATGAGGCGATACGGCAAGATGACTCCCAGCTAATTCTACCACACTGAATTTTAGCTCAGTATATCTACCGGTAGTCGTAGCCATTTTTGTGTTGCCTGATGTTAGTTAGTTGTGGCGGTCATCTTAATTCACACGTTGAAATTGTCAGGAAGTTTGATTAAAATCCATCCATATACGTCATAAGATATTCTGCTAACAAACAGTACTAAAGTTTTACACAAGTAGCACTTGTGTAAAAAAGTTCTTAATTTCTTAAAAAATTCTTAAAGTTCTTAAAAAGTTATACATAAGTTTATAAATTATGGAGATTTATGTGTATTTAGGTTCAGTCGGCTGTGGCGGCCATCTTGAATTGGATTGACTCCAAAAGCTGTTGTGTATATATATTTATATATATATAGCTATTTTCTGTTTTAATGTTTTATGTCATATAAAGAGTTTCAGTTGTTTTAAACGTGCTTTATTAATAAATTGATTACCATCAAGTTATTTCACTATTGCAGATTTTAGACCTTGTGTAAACAAACTGAACAAAGTGAAAACATCAGTCGAGAGCTGCTGTGGGTTCTGTAAACAGAACGAGTGTGAACTGACCTCTGTCTGTGGGTTGTGTGTTGGCGCTGCTGATGGTGAACTGATAAAGACGGCTGATATCATCTTCACATGAGACCTGACAGCTTCTGACAGTGACGTCCACCAGCACTGAAAACTCTACACGCCAAACAAAAAGAGGTCAAACGGTTGTCCCGACGTGTCCTCTGAGTTTCAGATGAACCTGTGAAGGTTCACGACGAGATCCGGAGGCTGGTCTCTCACCTGAGGAGCTGACGTGGGCTGGGATAGGCACGTCTGGGCTGAGACCCAGGAAGTTACATTTGTAGGCCTCTTCATACTGAGGGCTGTACGGCACGGAGCGCACACAGCCGACCGGCAGCAAAGACTAACGGGAACACAAAAGTTAATTTTGCTTATTAGTATTTTAAAATCCTTGCCTCAAATACATGTTAGCAGTAATAATTTAACTAATAGCTCAGAGCCAGCATAGATGTCTTTTGTCTGTTGTTTTTAATGACAGGGACAGAATAATTGATGTCGTTTTAAAACTATCTTAATCTTTCTCCAGGTGTGAGGGTGTTGCCAGGAGAGTACCTTGAGGACAGTAAAAGCAGAGTGAATGAGCCCGGGGTCTGCGCTTCTCCATATGACCTGATTTCCCATGAGCACGTGCCACGCTAGCTGTCGGAAGTCATTCGCCCCAAAGACCTGCAGAACAAGATAACAGGTCACAGGTAGTGTGCAGAGCGAGAAACAATGGGCCTCATGCAAGAACCGTTCGTACGCACAGATTTGTTCTTAAATTGTGTGTACGAGTGATTTAGGAGAATTTGTGGCATTCA